TGGCCGCTGGCCGGCTCGCTCTCCCTGGCTGGCCATTTTCTGTCGCGGCCACTCGGCCTCCCACGGGGTTCTTCGCACACAGCTTCATGAATTACCTCCACGTTTAATAACCGCTCGGTATATGCCAGACGGTCTCTGTGAGCACGATGTCGCGAAACAACAGTCTGGAATTCCTCAAGGAGCTTACCTTCTAGGTTTCAAGATCGCGAAGATAGGGGCCTGGAGAGAGCACCGAGGAGGAGTCGCTAATTCCTAAGGAGGGATGGTCAGGTTGACTTGACCAAGACCGTTGGCCTTGCAGCTGCACTGTCCAATTTTCAGGCGCATGTGGCTGCTGAGCTCCCCATGTGTAGCTAATCCAAATAGATGTAACATACACACCAGATTTGGAAGACTTAATTAGCAAAATATAAAATAGCTAATAAGCAGCATTTTGGGTATATTGGGTTAAATATATTATTAAAATGAATTTTGTGTACTTCATTAACTTTTTAATATGGCTATTAACATGTTTAAATTTTATATATGTGGCTTGCATTGTATTTATATTGGACAGAGCTGTCTCCAAGCAGTAAGATGAATTTGACTGGAAAAGATGAGAAAGGCCTACAAAGCAGAATAAACACATTTACCATTAGAATCTGTTTATAATCTACAAATCACATTCATTATATCATCATCACAGTTCTTTAAATTTTTATTTTATAGACTTAAAAATAAGTGATTCACTTAAGGTCATAGGTGACAATCATTCTTTCAATATGTATTTGCTTTTTTCTATGTACCAGGCACTGTAACTAAATGCTGGGAGTCAAAGGTCCCAAAGGAACTGTCTGTGGATTTAAGGACTCAGTCTGTGGAAACACATGTCAACAAATAGGGCTTCTTTTCATTTATGTTACCACCGGTGACAAATACAAGGTGTGTTACTCGGAGTAGGCTGACAATCCCAGCATCTCAGTGGCTTAACACAATAAAGGGTTATGTTCCATACAAATCACAGTGTGTAGCAGGTTGGTTAGGGCCAGTGGCTGGGAAGCCTCCTCCTTGCAATCATGGAAGGACCAGGTTGATTGTATCTTGTTGCTCCACCTCCTCTGTTGCCTTGGAATCATCCAGGCTATGAGCTTCAGATAAAAGAGGAGAGCTGTGGCTGACTTGTGGGAGATATTGGGGGCCAGCCCTGGAAGTGATGTACATCATTTTCACCCCATTCCCTTAGCCAGAATTCAAGTGCATGGTCACATGGCCCTACCTAACTGCGGGGGTGGCTGGGAAGTCAAGTGTGTGTGCCTAATAGAAAAGGAACTTTGGTTTAATGAACATTTAGCATTGCCTCTGCCACACAGTATTAAATTGAGCATAACGAAGTACCT